GGGGGGGGAGGGGAGAGAGGTGGCAACCCTCGGGCGTTTGCTGCTCGACATCATCTTATTTTTTCTCCCTGACGCCTACACTTTCTTGCCCCCTTATAATAGGGGAGGCGCAGGCGGCAATAAATGAAGGAAAAGACCACCATCAAGAGTTGAACAGTTTAACGTTCAGTATTTGGTGTGTGTGGCCTTTGGTGATGTATATGACGGGCGCTGTGTCTTCTACTACACCTTTTTAGGAAACACGATGAGTAGAGGGAATTAGGTAGCGAACCCCCTTTTTTTCACCCCATTTCTCACCACATGATATCTTCTTTGTGTATGTGTATGCCGTTGTGTCTGTTGACGGGCCCATTAATGTGAGGTGGAACGCGGGGTTAACTATATTGGGTGCTTACAATGCATTCATCCAGTTCCAGCAGAGCCCTTTCATGCTTCTCACCCCTATCAAAGAAAAAGAACAAAAAGTTCTCTTCTGCACTCTACCGTTTTTGCCTTTTTTTTTCCTGTTACGGCGCATTTGTATCTGGTCACACACACACACACGCATGTATACACCCAAAGGATAGGCTTCTTGTGGCAAAAAGGGAAGATAAAGGAGACGAACATCCGGACAACATGTGGGACCCGTTTCGTGACATTAATCATCTGCTTAATCGCATTCAGTTCGCCAGTGGTGCCAACTTTTTTGGCACCTCCGCTCGTGGATCGTGGGTGCCAGCGATGGATCTCATTGAGGAGGAGGGCAGCTACAAGATCCTTGCTGACTTGCCTGGCATGAGTCGCAGCGACATCTCGGTGGACATTGACGGCCAGCAGCTATGCATTGGAGGCAATCGCAAGTCTCTGCTGAGCGACGACGAACACAAGAATATTGTGCTGGCGGAGCGCGGTACTGGGAGGTTTGAGCGCTGCATACAGCTTCCTTCACGCCTTGAAGAGGACAGTGTGAAGGCCAGCCTGCGGGATTCTGTGCTAACTTTGCAGGTGAAGAAGGTGAAGGGCTCCACACCGAACCGCTCAGGAACCTCTGTGAAGATCGATTAGCCTCTCATCGGTGTCGTCTCCATATTTCATTGATCTTGGTGAAACACACACACACACACACACACATACATACACACACGTGTACACAAGAAGAAATCGTTGCCATTTATTGGTGCTGTTATTATTATTATTATTAGTATTATTATTACTACAAAAACTATCTTTTCGTTTGGGGGCACGAATGCTTTCGGCGTGACGCCTCCGTTTGGAGAACACACTTTCCTCCTTTTTTTTGTGTGTATTATTTCTGCGGCTTTTACACACACTTGCCCATATGTGGAAAGGTGTGTGTATGTGTGTCATCATTGTTTTGTTCCGTGTCGGCCGCTTTGGTTTTACCGTGTTTCTCCTCCCTTGAGACGGAGGGGGTTCTTTCGCCCTATTTTTGCTGCCACAAATGTTTCACTCCGTTGTCATATATAAGTGTATATATATTTCGTTTTTTTTTTCCTTCCTTTGTGCGTGTGCGTTTACAAACAACAACACGTTTTCTGCTGCGGCTGCGCAAATAAACAACCCAACCTTAATACAGAGTAGGTCGAGGCCATGCCGAAGGGAAACAACGCGATCCCCCATGTGCACCGGAGGAAGCACTGGAACCCGTGCTCCTCGCAGAAGGGCAACCTGAAGGTCTTTCTCAATCAACCCGCGCAGAAGCAGCGCCGTCGTCGCCTTCGCCTGCTGAAGGCGAAGAAGACGTTCCCGCGTCCGCTGAAGGCGCTGCGCCCGCAGGTGAACTGCCCCACGGTGCGTCACAACATGAAGAAGCGCCTGGGCCGTGGCTTCACCGTTGAGGAGCTGAAGGCAGCCGGTGTCAACCCTCGTGTTGCCCCGACGATTGGCATTCGCGTGGATCGCCGCCGCAAGAATAAGAGTGAGGAGGGCATGAACATAAACATCCAGCGCCTGAAGACGTACATGAGCAAGCTGGTGCTATTCCCTATGAGCT